ATTTTATAATATTATGTGTGATAAGTTAAACAGAAATTTGAAACATGAAATGTTTGCAAATACATTGAAATACATTAAAACGAGAATTAAATACAAATTTAATTTTATTTAAGAAAGATCTATTTGAAACTTTAATTCTGTCATTATGAAATTGCAGACTGTTTGCAAAACAGATTCATGATAACTCTTTAGAAGTACGGTGTTGATGATGATGTAAATAACATCATGCTTAGGTGAATAGTATGAAAACCTCTCGGTCAAGTAGCGTTTATATATACATATATCATGGAAATTGGAGGTCGTAAAAAAATGAGAGGAATTTAAATTGACACTCTTGCATCTCTTCAATAGCAAAGATATTCCGCTTATAAAACTCTTAACGCTCCACAATTATAAATCGTACTTAAAGCGACGTGTCAGCTTAATGTTAAAAAAAATACATCTTTCAAATTCTACTTCAAAATTCTACTTTATATCGCGTTTCATTAATTCTTTTTAATGATATATTATTTCATAATTTGAGTCGATAATTCTTGAAAAATAATTGTTTATGTAACTATGAAAAATTGACGTATAAAATAAAATCCTTGCAAGATTTCTATATCTTTCTATCATGTAACTTATTATAATGCAAAAATATGATTCCTTAATTCATTAATTACGCATCATTATTTTTTATTTTCTCACCAAATAATCTCGTATAACGGAGGAACATCGTCATTCAATACAATGATCGTAAATTCTGCATTAATCATCACATTAACCCATCCGGCGTTGCAACGCATGTAATAACTAATTAATTCGTTGGAATAATTTAAATTACGACCTATCTGTCAGTTGAAAATTTGACGACGTCAGCTATTTCATCGGATATAATTAAATTGGAGCATATGACGGCTAAAATAAAGCGTACATAAAGCCGAACTCAGAATATATATTGTATTTTACAAAGATTTTTCAGACCTGCCACAACCGAATCGAACAACCGGATGATTCTGTTAATAAAGCCTGCTAATAAAGCTAGAAATGAAATGCTTTTCACGCTTCGTATTGCACGTAATTTTTGTCCGTTATCTCAATGCATATTTGCCCACGTGCGTACGAAACAAATATTTGAAGTAAATATCGCTAGCTATGACGTTGCACGTTCCGGCAATTTTGCTATTCTTTTCATGCTGAATTAATGCGAAAACCGCCGCGTCGCGTCATGTTTAATTCGGGAGAATACGTTGCTTGTTCTAATATTCATGAAAAACAAATTTGTTAAAAACAAAGAACGTTTCCATCAATATAATCAATGTAAGAGAAAGAGAGAGAGAAAGAGAGATTTCCCTAATTATCAAATTTAACGAAGTTAGTTAATTAGAGAAAATGGTATTAAACAGAAAATATCTTGCATCTCTTCGTGCTGAATTCTAAAAAATGATTTATCTTTTTTAACGAAGATAACATATCACTATTAGATAAAGATATTCCTTTGCCTTTAAGGTTGGTAATTCCATACATCTCGAACAGCTTCCGTTCCTATGAATCGATCAAGCGATTTTACTTTCATGATAAATCACCATCGAACGATCAATGGAAGGATTAAGTAATTCGAAACGTCATAAATATATAGCTGGTACGTAATGGCAGACGAGTCTTAAGGATCCATTAATAAAAGCAGGAGAAGAGATAGCCGCTTTCGTACACGGCGATTAATCAGCCTGAAGACGCTCGTGCCGGGCTTTATGGACCCGGTTAAACATAGCCGCTGAGATAACGCGAGAAGTTAAAAAGGCAACGCATTTTTAGCATTTTATTCATCGTCACTTGAAGCTCTCCCATTCCTTCTTTTTATTTTCGCGCGCGCCTCGACTCGGAATCACTTGCGAGTCTCTGCTTTGATACAGTATTTCCGGATACACTCGCCGAGCTACGGCGATTCAATAATTTAGCAGGAAAATTAGGGAGTACGTAATTAGAGTTACGAGCGAATTTTCGCAGTCGCAGGAAGGGGGATAAATATTCGACTGTCCGTGCGCCAAGGCGAAGCAAATGAAAACTTACCGCTCGAAAATCCTTAATCTGCGAGAAACGTTTCGCGATATGACGTTGCCCTGCTCATAATAGGCTTAGTTATTTATCTGTAAAAAAAAAAGGTAACCCGAGATAAAATGGGGTATTAAAATGTTTTACAGCGTGGCGCCGGTATATTTTAAGACTCGTACGTTTAATGAGACATTAACCGGTTGAGGAGATTTTTAAGATCGATTTGAACGTTACACAGCATAATGCGTTGATAGGGCTGATTATTTTCGTCACGAGAGGGAGAAGATAATCTTCTCAAAATGGTAACCGCTATAAGTAATATAAGAGTAATACAAAAATAGAACTAACTATGTATTAATCATTATATCCGATGCATGTATACTACCACTTGCGATCGAAGTAAATTTCGACAGTAGATTCTCGACGCTCCAAGACAACTTTCTTAAGGAATTCTGTGTTAATCGTGATGACATCCCTTTGCAGAAATGTAATTTAATACTGAAAATTACTTGTTTTGAGTATTAAACACAACAGCGTTTCTAATACTCAAAATAAATAATTAATCATCAACTTGCAGTATTAAATTTCTGAAAGGGACAAAGACGATCGCGTCGAAAATAAAAGTCGAGAGATGAACTACATCCGAACCCAATCCGATTGTAGTGCGTAGTTTTAATCGCAGCTTAAACGTTCTCACGATATGCATCCTGTACTTCTAACGTTTAAGTGTTATTAGATTCGCCGATAACAAACTTTAGAGAATTACAGAAGGCTTTTGTGTGCATTTTCGGTAAAATTGCATTTTCGATAGTTGCATGATAATGTAAGTGTTCTCTCCGTCAATTTCTCTGCGTAACACACCATTGCCTCTTCCTTTTCGTACACGCCTATACTCCGCGCGCAAGTAAGTACATTCTATTCTCAATTTTCTTATTTTCGCTTATCTAACACCAGAAAACTAACGTACGTAAGTTACCTTCACTGTTCTGGCGAAATGAGAACTGCTGACTTCAGCGTAACTTCAGCAGGTGAACTGGGTTACGCGTATTGATGTAGCCTGTAGAAATTCTGGAGATGTTAACCCCGTTAGATGAGTGAAACCTCAAACCTAAATCTCACGAAATAAAAAACTGAGAGATATCTAAAGAACGTTTCAAAAAAAAATTAGAACGTTCTTGAGATATCTTTACAACACATCCTATAGACATTTTTCTATTACCTGTCAAAACTACATAAAAATGCGAAAAACCTGTAAAGCAAATGTCACACTACGCATTGGAGGGTAAGAATTGCGAATTATAGATCAGAATTCGACCAGTCAGATAATTTTAACTTTAACCTGTTTCGTTCTGATTGACTGAATTCTAATCTTCAATTCAAATATCAATCTCCAATGCGTAGTGTAATACGGGCTTAAGGGAACATCTGAAGAATATCTCGTAGACATCTTCGTGTAGATATTTTTGTTACTAGTACATGCTATTCTTATGTATGTGTGCTTTTATCTTTTAGCTGTGTTATCTGTCCCGATTATTGTATTACCGATTAATAATACGCTTGTTTCGCTTGTCTATTATTTCTTTCTCAACTTTCGCCTCGAGTGTGAGTCGATTCCGCGACAGGTCCATTCGGATGGCACTGAATCGTCGTATGTTGTGACTGCGAGTGTGTCATTATTGAGTGTATGTTTGCACTCGCGTGGAGAGGCTCGAATTCTCGTCGCGTCTGAAGAATGTTCTGTGTATATTACTTACTGTATTTTACTCGCTATAGTATAGAAAAATCGGTGAAGGCATTCCAGTGAAAGCTCCGACAGGAGACAAAAATAAAAAGAATTAAAGGACCCGATGTGAGATTGCAGAGAGTAGAAAAGCAGCAGTAACTGTGCAAAATGCAAGGCTTAAATGAATTAAAAGCGGACTCTTGTGTTCGATAAATATAATATCAAGAAATCCGTAAAAATTATATCTAAAGAATGGCATTATTCTTTGGAAAGCGCGCTTAGCGTTAAAATATTTCAGACGCAGACGTTCTCACGATGTCTGAATTTTTGAGTCTCTTCACGCGCACCGGAAACGCGCGAGCACTCGTATAAACGAATGAAAGATTATTAAATATGTATGTCGAGCAAAAATGGAACCAGAGATAGCAAGTAAGAAGGTTCACAAGACGGGGACGATTACGATCTGAGCTGAGTTAAAAGAGATCCAGGAGAATAATCTTTCATTTTCAACGAGAGAGCTGCTAACAGCGTCTCGTTATTTCCGTGACTAATCGCCTTCTTTCTGTATTCTTTCTTCGGGGGATTTTCGGGAACACCTCGATTCAGGATCATACTTCAATTGCATCATGTTCATGGTGGCGAGCAGCGTCGTGCTGACCGTTCTGGTGCTCAACTATCATCACAGATCGCCCGACAGATACGTGATGCCAAATTGGGTAAGAAAACATAATAAAATTGAACTGACTGTATCACAGATATAGTTAACTCTAATTAGTGATGGCATTTAAGTCTAATTAATGATGAATAACAATATTAAATATAAATGCGATAAATGTAGCGTGTGATATTAATGATGCAATGTTGAAATAAACAACGGTAATTTGTCACCAAAGTAATTTTGAATGGCAAATAATTCAAATAATTCTAATAATTAAATAAACATTAATAAACGTTGATGAATATAATCATTATAGTCGCATAGTTATTTATGTTTCTCTTTATAATTTTGTGCATTTTCTGTTCGTTGAAGTGTGTTCATCATTCGCATAATTAGCGTAGTAGAGCAGATTATGTATCATACAATAACTAGAAAAAAAATTAATTCAACTTATGTTGCAGCAGGAGCTTTTTGATTTGTTCTGAAAGGACGCTTTGATCGATCGTATAGTTAAATATTTCATTCGAATAAAGCTTAATTATTTTAGGCATATACATATAATAGAAATAACTAAACAGAAA